AAAAAAAAAAAAAAACTCGTACGGGGCCCCTAGCGTACGAGTAGCGTACGAGTACAAGAGTACGAATCCGTACTCGTACAAGGGTGCGTACAAGTGGCAACGTATAATATATATATATATATCGTCACAGATATGTATATATATTCACCTACATTCACCTGCCCAATCTTCTAACTCCCATGGGATAGCGCTGCGAGGTCAAAAATGGGTCACCTCCATGGTTGTGAGCACTTTGACATCTCGGCTCCATCCCTCTTCACGTGCTGCTTCCACAGCCCATCTCCTTGGCTTGTCACCTTCTATCCTTCAGCAGCCCTTGGTCTTCCAGCGAACACACACACACACACACAGACACTCTCTACCTGCCAACGGCCTTGGCCAAACCGCCGATCCTCTCTTTTACTCGGGTGTGCAAGTTTCCTAGCCCGGGGACAAAGAAACCATTCCGAGGCTCGGTGATGGAAGTGGTGCACCGATCTTTTTTCGAAGAGCAAACCGTCACTGTTTTGCTTTTTCTCGCAAGATCAGAGCGAACAGTCACGGCGTTAGGAAAAGCCCTATTCTCTTCGCCTTTTTCCGGGACGACAGGCCCCCCATGCACCGTGACTATCCACAGCACTGCATCAACTGGACGGCGACGCTTGACTAGCTCTCCAGAAGAGAATAGTGGTTCTGCTGATGCTGGCAACAGGAGGTAGGTACCAAGGGATCACTTCCTCCAACTGGCCTACATAGCTCAGTTGGCACACCAATGAACTGTTGAAATATACACCCAAGTTCGAATCCAGACGGTATCAGACGAACAGAATAAAATCCTTCTGAGTACACGCTGAGGCCGGCCAATTTGGCAGATGATTTCCAGACAGCAATGCACTATGGGGTACAACACGAAGGCAACGACTACCTGCATGCAATTTTTAATCCATTTTCCAAGTCGGCAAGGCACATTGCCTTCGAAACAACTTCGGGGTGACGATCACTTCCAAATTCCCTAATTAAATCTAAGTGAAAATATGGAAACAGATAAAATACTCCTTCGGGACATCTGTTAAAAATTGGAACGACACACAGAAGATTAGCATGGCCCGTGCCTGAGCAAGGATGACACACATAAATCGAGAAATGGTCCAAACACTAAAAAAAACAAATCAGATAAAATAGGAAATATATTTAAATGTAACAAGGTGACCCTCGATCACACTCCATTCCAAAAAAGAAAAACCTCAAAATGAGAGGCCATCTTCCGACTCCAAGGGTCGAGCACAGTTCACACCCCGGGTGCCTCTACTCATTTTTCTTATTAACCTCCTGTCCAGGTGAGTGAGGTCTGGCTTGGCCAAGCACAGCCCCCTCGCAGCAGGCGCCAATGCCTCACATATATCCCATTGCATCAGTGCAAGTTATCTTACGTGGGTCTTGTGCAAACATTGGAAAATGCTTGTGCTCCAGAGCAATCTAATTCGAAAGGAGAGACCAAACACCCCCCCTGGAAGGATGCAGAGAAAATATGGAAAAGCATGCAAAACTTTGAAATTTTGAACAGTCAGATGCAACCTGTTTGAAACCAACACATGTGACTACCTCCGAAAGGGTGCGCAAAGGATCCTGAAAGATCATGGAGAAAGTGAAAAATGGCATACATACATGAACTGGGGTTAGAGGATGGATTATCGCTTCTACTATCATTTATACGGTAGGGGATTTTGCAGACTGTATAGAGGGTTCAGCCTCCCGCTGACTCAGTGAAACTCTGACCAAACACTCTGCCACAGACCCTCGTTGGTTGTCCTATGCTCTCCCTCTCTGTATACAGTTATCCAGGCTGTTCTCCATGATGCAATATACCATCAAACAGAGCTCCCCTTACATATATCGTCACAAACAGAACTGCCCGGTAAACCGTAGGCAGAGAGAGAGAAGAGGACAACAAACGAGGGGCTGTGACAAACTGTTTCGTCGGAGTTTCACCGACTCATCATATATATATATATATTTGACGATATATATATATCATCACAAATAGAACTGCCCGGTAAACCGTAGGCAGAGAGGGAGAAGAGGACAACAAACGAGGGGCTGTGACAAACTGTTTCGTCGGAGTTTCACCGACTCATCAGGAGGCTGAACCCTCGACAGTGTCTGCAGAATCCCCTCACTGATTACACTGTAAATGATAATCTACCTTAACCAAAATCAAAGTAGACTATATATATATATATCGCCCGGGTCACCCTATTTCTCCGGGCGGCCCGGCCGTACAGGGACCAGGGAAGGACCCAGCCAAAAAGAAAAGAAAAAAAGAAAAAAAAAAAAAAATCGAAAAAAAACTATGTTATGTAGAAAATAGACTGAACAACTTTTGCCTCAGAGTCACATCGAAATTCTTTACCAAATCTCAAATAATTTTTTTAATTAAAATACAATTTTTATTTTTTATTTTTTCTCTTTTTGGCCTGGCCTGGCAAGTGAACCCAGGCCACTCTGGTAGCCTAGTATATATATACATATATATACACTAGGGAAAACGGTCCAAGTGATTCTTTCTCTTCTCCTTTCCTTGTTTTCGTCTGATTGCAACTGGATTCGAACTTCAGTCTGTATTGCAACGGTTCATGGGTGTACCAACTGAGCTACGATCGTTGGTTACAGTCCAAAAGATTCTATGCCGGTTCCATAAAACACAAATAACACAAAAATTGGAAACCCATCAAGAAAAAAGAAAAGATATTATAATGTAGGACAGGGCTCGGAGCAGAACGCCTGCCCCGAGAACCACAAATGGCAGCTTTCCGTCACACAGCTCGCCGCCCAAAAACTTAGCCTTGTTTGCGATGCGCCGGGCAGAGGTGCCGGGCGAAGCATTTTGTAAGTGCATACAGCAATGAAAGCAAAAGGGAGACTCCGAAAAGTGGGAGGGGACAGAAGTTCGGGCACATAAAAAAGGCCCCGGTCCGTGCCCGCACAAGAGGTCAAGAATAAAAATATATTCTGGGCAGCTCCAAAAAGATAAAAATGCTCCAAGAAGATAAAAATGAAACAGGCCCCGATCGGTTCATATAAATCAGGCCCCGGTCCGTGCCCGCACAAGAGGTCAAGAATACCTTACTAGACCGTAGCCATTTGTTCTCACCTTGTAGGATAGCGTCCACTAGAATGATCTGTGAGGAACGAGCACATAGAACTGGGCACGGCCACCAGATAGATGAACATAGCACGCAGTCATGGTATCTCCCTCTTGTAACCTCAGACACATTGGGAGAAGGAGAACGGCAAGCTGAGCCGAACATGGTTGCATCGCTAAGTCATCACACCCTGCTTGCGAGTTCACATCTGCTGGTAGGGCGGAACAGGATTCAGAGGCGGCAAAGAGGGTGCAAACACGAAAGATAGCATGGTCCATGGAGACTATTCCACAATTTGCCGTGGGTATAGTTTATCCTTTCAAAAATCCCTGTTCTCGCAGTGTACGTTTCTTAACATCCACATGCCTACACGGTATACCGAATAGAAAGTAATGACGGGTACCGAAAAGGTAATAATCAATAGAACCAACCATCACTGTCTCTGCTGTCAAAGAGAACAAGTACACAAGTAAACGAAACCGAAGACAAACAAGAACCGAAGAGAGGATGGATAAAGCGGTTGAAACAATCGTAACCGTTGGAGACACAAAATAAGGAGAGCTGGAACTGGGAAAAGAACCTAGCACTCGTCCACGAGGGTAAATGGCCGGCTTCACAATGGATGACGACTTCCCAAGTCTACGTCGACGGGGCTAATCCCACGCACCCTCCACAAGGTCAATCAGATGCTCAAAGTGTCCCATAAGAAAGACACAGACAGAGGCAGGATAGCCAAGTGTCACTCATTACAAGACACCAACCAGCTCACGATCAAAAGTCAGTCACTTCATGCATGTTATACATACAAGACAGTCAATCCCTTAGCACTCACTGCTGCCATATTGTGATCAAAGGATATCTTCATAGCTAGATGACCTATAATGATTCCAATCTCCAGAAATCTCCAGACATACTCGAAGAAAAGTACACGTGGATTTGAGGAGAATGATTCTTTGAAGCTTCATGAATTATCTGAGTTCCTAGTTTGAAAGGACAACTTGCAAGGTCTCAGAATGGAAAGCTAGCTGGCCAGTCTATTTCTCCTTGTTCAACTTCTAATCTTTCTTGAAATTAATTAACCTCTAGTGCATAAAAATGCATAAAAAAACCCTCTACCATCATCGTCAGTCGGCTCCGATGGATCCAACCAAGCAAAAGAAGGAACAACTTTCCCTCAAGCCTCCTCACTCAAGGGTGAGTTTGAACCTGAAGATTTCACGACCTATACTTGGTATCTGTGCCCACTCTTCATTTGCACAGGCGTGCAGAAACACATCCTGAGACACACAGACAGGCTGACAAAATGAACGAATAACCCTCCTACTGCTTTTGCCAACAATGATGGTCTGTGTGTTCAGATCGATAGGAATGAACATCTCCTCGCAAACAGGCAAAACCGCACAGCTTTAGAGTAACATTCTTCCCGCCTACATGCCGCGTACCACTGACCGGTCGCATGCGCAATTGCAGAGAGCACTCACTGGTAGTCCTCTCTGCACACACAGAAAGTCAACACTCTGCCTGCAAGCACCAGGCAGTTCTCCGGGCGGTACGAGTAGCATCTGCAATCAGAATCGTCTTCTTCGATACTCAGCATGCATGCAAACAGATGATGATCACACCTGGTGCAGCAGCGCCCACACAGAGCTCAGAGATAACGCAGCCAGGAACACAACTCAGATTCAAACTTGTCTTGAAATGGCTACGTCGCTGATGTGCCAGACAATGATTACCACTCGATCAACTGTATCCCCAAGCAACTTGTTCACACACACACACACACACCCTGGATCACCCTGGATGTCCCGCACACACACACAGACAGCACACTAACGCACTTCCTATCACTAACCTACAGGCAGCTATGGATGCCGTCTTCTACCTCTAACCACCGACTAGCGGCTATGGCCGCATCTTCCTCCTCTTAGCCCTCTGCTTCTCCGAGCAGCTGCAGACCTTCGTACACAAGACACTCCGACAGCGCTTCCGCACGGCTCGCAGGCAGAATGCATGAATGACTTGACGCTGCCTCTTTATTTATACTTTGGATCGTCGTTGGTCTTCCCTTGGACCCTGGGCCCGGGGTGCACAGTCCCACATGGTACTTGCTGACTAGACGACTGGGGCTGGGTACCGCTGACTAGGCTAGGTAGGACTAGGACTGCCCTCCGCTGGCTGCGCTAGGACTGCCCTTCGCTGACTCAGACGCGGACTGACTCCTAGAACCTACGAAGAGCCAGCCTACAGACTTCTAGAAGGCCTTTCCAAATCTGTCGCAGCTACCTCTCCTACAGCTAAGACTTCCAAACACAGACCTGCGGTTCAAGACCCGGCGACCACACTACATACAGCAGCTGAACATACAACTTTCGGGACAGGTCGCGGGTTCAAACACACAGGTCAACAGCGAACACTGTACACGGGTGAAGGTGAAGTCTAGGGATCAAGTCCTGGGAAATGCATCTGTTACCGAACAGGTGAAAACCGTTTCGCATCAAAGATTCAGAACATAATAACAACAGAGGCCATATTCTTGACCCACCTACCAAAAACCATCACTACTTCAGGACGATAATATCATTAAGCGATGCACGCAAGAAGTCCTACAACGAGACTGTGCACGGATCAGGACATTCCAGGAGAGACCGCATCTCGACGAATATGACACATCGCTCCGTCAAAAGGGGTCGTCGCAGAAGAAGCAGAGTGATTACGAATGTGGAGTCCTGAGCAGCAGCCAGCTGACCACATCTCGCCTGCTTCCACAAGTAGCGACGCATATGACACGTCGCTGTGTAAAAGGGGCCACGGCAGAAGCAGAGTGATTATGAATGAAGTCCTGAACAGCCAGCTGCTCTGCGTTACAATTCTGCCAAAAAAAAACAAAACAAAGAGACATTACGCCATGCATTGTGCTGACCACATTGACAGTGCCTCGGCAGTTCATAGGCTGAGTCACATTTACAGCAACAATAAACACATCCCATCCTCAGACCGCACAATAGAAGCAGGCGTGGTGTACCTCCAGCCTCCAGAAACAAACCTTCTCCAAAGGAAGATTGCTTTCTCACGGGGGGCGGAAACTTTCCCACGTTTGACTTTCCTCTCCTTGTTGGATATAAAACAACCAAAGGACGTTCCACGGTCGGAATGCCATTTATTATTAAGAAGACGTGAAAAACGCCTGCCTGCTTGCCAAAAAAAAAAAAAAAAAAAAAAAAAACAAACAAACAAACAAACAAACAAACCCGCCTGCCTATTCCAATCCCCGTTTCAGGTGTTGGCTGCAGACGTACTTGAACAATGGATGACTAATGAGCTCAAATGTTGTTCTACTCCGAAGTCATAAACAGATCAGCCAGCCAAGGAGTTCTGCTTTGTATGCTGCATACGACAACAGTGCGCGCAGAGAAAGCACACAAAGCACTCTTCTCACTCGTGCAAAGGTGGAGCCCAGCATGCGACGCTGATAATACCAGTCAGACTGCAACGCAGCGGAAATGCGAACGGTGATATTTCACCCGCCACAAACACAGTCAAAAGGCACCCTCTGTGAACCGAGAGAGAGAGAGGACACCTACCACAGGATCTAGCCTAACAACCTGAAAACCACAAAGTCCAACAGCAACGAGCACACATCGCTGATATCTCCTCCGTGCAGTAAACACCCGACCTCCACAATCTTCAAGCCAAGATCAGTACACACGACGATATACAAACCTATATGTGAATTTCCTCTCAGTTTTCTTGCAAGAAACATTCCAGAAAAATAGTATATTCTTTTTTTTTTCCTCTCAAAATTGCAGGTCCGCAATTGCGTTACGTACAAAAAGACTTGAAAGTCTACCTTTCCCACAACCAACCTGCAGACGACCTCGGCAACCACTCATTCGGAGAGCACCACCGCAGAAACCACGCTCCACTGCAATGACGGATCGAAAGGACATTGGCTAGACACGACGTTATCGCCAAATTCATCACCGCTGCAATTATTATGTCCAAAAACTCGGTGTGCGACTATTATTTGCTATATACAAACACTCAGCAACAACACCTACTACTCCCAGCAGGACCTGAACATACGAACACCGTTAGCACTCAGCAAAAGTGCCTACTGTCTTCACCCGAATAGAACGCGCCGTAATTATCACATATCTGGGCTGAAAGTTGTGCCAAATACAGCTATAATGATCGGGCGTTCTATTCGGGTGAAGACGGTAGTCCCAGCAGGACCTCATCACATGAACCTCACTTGAGACCTTCAACAACCCCCGCAATGCCATTAGATGATACACGAGTGGCAGCCAGACTCCACATCCTTCAACTCGCAATCATTCTGCGACAATTACTGTTGCCACATAGTGAATCTAAAAGATATGACACATTCTTCCACAGCAGACGACGACATTAGGATTACCTGGTATTGGGAGATCGATTGAAACAAGCACAAAGCAAAAGAAAGGAGAAGCAAACACGTAACGACCATGCAACAATACAGTGACACCAGAGCTACAACAAGTTCTGTTCAAATTGAGGGGAGAAAAAGAAAAAAAAAGGAAGTTGTCATCATCACAAGAGCAACACGCCAAACACCACCCACCCTGAAGCATTCCCTCCCAAACTCCCGCCCGCCATACACAAATAAACTGCAGAACAGCTCAGCAACTAACCCATAGCCAGAGCACCGCGTCATAGACCAAGGTCCACTGCAATCACATATTGGATGGAAGCAACGAGCACAGCTAGTTGCCCGGTGTCATCGCCAAAGTTCTTCCCCGTAATGCTTCATCGCCTCCTCAAGAAGTGTGCAAGAAATGCACAGAACATGCGGCCACCATCCTTGCTCCAAGCATGACAGACAAAGTGCAACACGGTAAGGACCCTAACAACGTTGCATTACTCCCTCTTCCGTGAAACAATGACCACATTCGTGACGGAAAGAACGCTCACTACGTTCGTTTTGCTGAAGAGATGTCGCTACATACATTGCCTGACATTGTGTGTGAGATGAACTCTCAGCAAACACATTTTTTTCTCTGCAGCCTGAACTCAAGTCAGCTCCATGGTAGAATGGAGTGCACTGCTACCAACCCAAAAGACGACTCAGCAACTGCACGTACCAGGCAACAGTATCATATTAACATGCAGCCAGCGACCGCAATGCACCACAACATAACAGCCTGATAAGACTGTGACGTACTCTTCAAGTTGACGTCACACCCGACAACATGTTATTATTACCATCAATACCCTGCTAATGCTCTTCATCACACTTTGACTCTGATACCAATGATAGACGCTCGCGTTTAAAAAGATCAATGAGAAAAGATGGCCTACAGCTAGGTAACCACAACCACTCAACTCTCTCGTAGCTCTCGCATCTCAAAGCTCACTCTCCCGTTCTGCAAGCACCGGTGCTTTGTTAACCGCTTAGCTGCAACAGTACCATTTCCAATAATGACGTTTTCTTGCAGCTCCGCTGCACAACCGTCCCAATCATAGACTATACTAGTTCTATTAGATATACAATAAAATTAAACGAGTGACGCAGCATCACAGAGACGCATCTACAATTTTAGGACATGGAAATATATATTGAAAGGATTTCACCGTCCTAACCTGCAGGGATTTGATCCCGGGACCTGTTGTCGCTGTTGTCGTTGGCTGTCGTACTTTCCATTCGGAGTTCATCCACCAGTGCACCCCCCCTCCCTCCAAAACCTACGGCTGTGCACGTGAAGGCCACTACGGCCCACCTATATATAGCACCGGTGGTATAAAGTGTCACTTGCTTCATCAAGCCTCGACCAGACTTGAACCGGAGGCATTTCCCTTACCAAACGTACCCATGAGTCCTGAGCACTGAAGCCAACAGTTTGGGTTTTACCGGGTCACAGCAGGGGACTGCATTCATGTGCGTTCCGCAGCTGTTCCGTTATCCGGTTTTTCTTGTTTCGTCCCTCTCGCAACGGCACCCACCCTACATCCTCCATGGTTTTTCCCCTTTTAGGCAAAGGGAAGAAGAACTGAAAACCAGTAGAGTCGGATTCAATTAAATTCGACCTTGTGGGAATCGGCAAACCAATTTTAAAAAGGCAAAACAAAACAAGTCCACGGTGGTACCAAGGAGAATAAAGAGATCCCGTAGTACAAATGGGGGAAATAACTCCACAGCGTCCTTTGCGGACCCTTAACAAAACAAGTCCACGGTGGTACCAAGGAGAATAAAGAGATCCCGTAGTACGAATGGGGGAAATAACTCCACAGCGTCCTTTGCGGACCCTTACCCCCCCCCCACAGCGTCCTTTGCGGACCCTTAACCCCTTCCCACATAGTCCTTTGCGGACCCTTAACCCACCAGTACACCCGGGGGTGGAGGCACTACACTGCGCACCAAGCCTTTCTGACACTCGGAAGTGCACTTCTTTACTTTTCTGGATGGTGCCTCCAGCCCCGGCCATTGTGGTCCGGTAGCCCAGAGGCCCGAAAAGTTTGGAATCGGCAACTCGCAATTCTCTGCAAGCCTGGCTGGGGCCATTGCCATGTACTTTTTTTTTTCTTTTTTGTCTTTTTTATATTGCCATGTACTTTGGCGGTTTATGCGGATCAGCCTAAAACCGTTCTGTTCCCACACTGAGTGAGGTCTCTAACAATCAACACGATCTAGATTCCAATCTGGACAAAACCCACATGACCCGTGGGCCAAAAGGAGTACCTTTTCCTTGGCCACTGCATCTTCCAAAGTATGCGGTGGCAACCCTACCCTGCCAAGCAAGGCTCGAAGAGCAGATGCTTGGCATCCGAATCACATGAACGCCACCCTTTTGAGCCAAATAACCAAGGTGATTACTCGAGTCCTCTCCAAGCCGTACGAGATAGTCACTCACCTAACCTAATCTTACGCAGCTCTCCAACTCAACTTACTTCAGATTAGTAGGGTGGATATAAACATTTCTGGATATAGGAGGGCCCTTTGGGCCTCGCCAGACCACTGTCGAAACGAAAAAAGTTCCGAGTGCATCGTCACGCAGAGCGTGGCAAGATGCATCCGTTACTATGAATAGCAACGGATGCATCTTACCACTTTCTGGGGTAGATGCATTCTTTCTTTTTTCGTTTCGACAGTGGCGTGGCGAGGCCCTTTCTCAAGTCTCGTCCATCCCTATCAAAGGAGTCTCCAATTCAGCTTAGTACTTCAGATGAGGATGGATAGATATTTCTGGATACAGGCCCCTTTCTCCAGTCTCCTCCATTCATGGCAACTAAGGTAGCCTCCCATTTCAGACCCCACTTCTTCGTATCCTAAGTTTTCTGCATTCAATCCACAGACAAGGTCAACGGTCCACGAGACACTTTAAAATTTGTGGGCCCTTTCCCACCAGAGCCCTCAGCCCCCCCCAGTAGGCTAAACCTGGCCGCAGCCCAGGCCTATGCCGGCACAGTGCAAATCAGCTGCCAAGGCCAGCAGCGGTGGTTTGATTCGCAAGAGAATAACAGCATTGGCTACTACGGTGTTAGACCAAGTAATGGGCAAAGATAGGCCACATGGAAACTCCATATCATAATGGCGAAGGCCTCAGATGCTCTGTTCCGTCCCGCTGAGCTACAGAATTCTGCCACATGGAAGATCCATATCATAATCGCACCTCCCTCAAAGGAACAGTGATACCGAACTCCCCCGCTACGTCTGCGAGAAAGGCCAGAGCTGGGCGGACCTAGAGAAGCTATCATCCCATCAACCTACAGTTTCTTCATTCATATACTCACCCGCTTCATGAACTCCCATGTCATTTCTTTTCTCGGTCCGGAGAAAAGAGTTTATTTTTTTCAGGAGCTGCGCTGCTCCTTGGCTATGACAGAACGATGAAGCATCGATGTGCTTGCTCGCACAGGAAGACAACGTGGTACAGGACCCTCTGAGGTTCACAGAAGCGAGACGCGGGGTATAGCAGAGGCTTAAGGGCCGTTACACAAGAGATTGTCATCGCGATACTTCCGAGTGCCAAGGAGGAGAATCGGCTGTCGGGGAGAGACGTTGTTCAGTAGATGGACGGAGGCGATGATGGTGTAGGAGCGAGTGTGCTCTTCAGAAATAATAAAATTGTTGTGCTATCTTGTAGACTGTTAGCGGCTGTGAGTCCTGACCTGATAAAGGAAACGGAAGACATCACTTCGGACGGGGGGTGGGGTGGGGGGGGGTCATGCTCACACGAGGACTTTTTCTAACGCTCTGGACGTGATTGCAGTCCGATTCATCCACGTTTGGCCATAATTGCAGTACTGCACATTTTTCTTTTAGGACAGTTGCCCGTGTGACTCTGCCCTTACAGAGTCGAGTCGCGGAATTCCGAAGAGATCAGGGAAGGCATGGTGGTGAGAATGGGGATTCTACTTGTGCAATCGTCGTCCTCTCGTTTCAGACAGAGTATGGAATCGGGCAAAATATGGATGCCCATATTTAATACTACCTGTCATTCAACTGCGACGGTTCATTGCATCACAAAAAAAAAAACGCGACGCTTTTTCTCAAAAAAAAAAAAGGCGCCACACGCACTGTTGTCTGGACCTTGCCTCACCATGCGCTTCGCGACAACGTTGTTGGAACTTATTTTCGGCATATGGTTTAAGGCGCCACGTGGCATGTTGCCTCCCCTGCTACCTCGCACACAAACCTGACCGGTATCCCGTTTCTGTTCTTTTCTTTTGCGTGGCCGCCCCTGCGCAAAAGGACCTGTTACGCCACCACGCTGCGCGCATTCATTCCATCGGCAAGTCGGGACACACCATAACAACTGCGACCGCGACGCGGCGTCACACTTCTCTTTTTTGCTCTCTCTGAGTCTCTTGTTCTCTACTCACCAGTGAAGGCAACTGTCATATAAATACGACTCCATACATCGCCTGCATTGATTGACAAAGAGGGGTGAAAAAAAAAATCCCGATACGCCGGTAAATCTCCACATTGCTTCCTGCACACACTCAGATCACATACGCACGCATCACGTCTGACCTTACTGTAGAGCACACGAGCATCAGGGGTGCAGAGGTCGGACATGAAGAAGAAACGGAAAAAAAAAACAAAAAACAGAAGTGCGCGAAAAGTACATCAAGAACGCGATCGACGGAGAGAAGGCAAGAGGAAGAGAAGGAGAGACGGAGAGAGCGAGAGCCGAACAGAGGGAGAGAGGGAGGGAGTTGGACAGGGGCTTGGAGTCCGAGAGCGAGACAGTTGGGAGGGGCGAGAGAGAGAGAGAGATACTGGTAACGAAACACACCTGCTTAAGCCTTTTCGCCATTCACGAAATATCATAAACTGGGATCGAACAATACGAGTGACAGACGTACCTTACTGGTGGCCGAATCAGGTTCATACGGCAGCCCTCTGGTTCAGACCTGTTTCAAAAGCAGGCGGGCTTCTTCATTCCATGGACAGGTTAGCTCACAAGAACACAAGTCGGGCCGGACCGTTCACATCGTTGCTCCTTTCTTTGTTTTCCTTTTGCATCGCCATACAAGAAATCCCATTTACGACATGCATTGACAAGAAACAACGCCAGTGCAACGGGATTGGTCGTCGTGTCTTTTGCATACTGGCAACTCACATATGCTATGTACGTGACCCTAGTTTGAAATCACAAGCCTATTAGGAGCAGAGACATCCGACTTGAAAAAAACGAACAGAACTGAAGCAGCTCCAAAAAGGGAAATAAAGAAATGAGGGGAGAGAAGGAACAGAGGGGTAGGGAGAGATGGAAGTGAGAGAGAGAGAGGAATATAGGGAGAGACCGGGAGAGAGGGAGGTAGGGAGAAGAGAAAGGGAGGGAGAGAAGGGAGAGGAGGAGAGAGGAAGAGAAGAAAGGAGAGGACACTTGCTGCAACATTACCATGCACTACTACCTGAGCCCAACCATCATTCACGAAACTTTACAAGGGATTGAACATTAAATTCGACAGACGTACCTGCCTCGTGGCTGAAATGGTACACACCTAGCACTGTTGATCCTCAGGTTTAAGAGTTCAAGTCCTGACCACTCCCAATCAGATTGACAGACACAGAACAAGCAGGCCAAGGCATCAATGCACACAGCACAAGCCATTCCGGTATCTTCGATCTATAAGAGGTACTGGTAAGAATCAGATACCTCTGACACAGAATAGAAAAACAGAGAGGGGGGGGGGAGAGAGAGAGAGAGTCCGGGGCATCATCGATAACTGAAACATGCTGCAAATTGCGTTTTTACCATATCTCGTGGATTCTCTTCCATGAAAAAACTTCCTCGAACTAGACAACCTGCAGCAAATATTGGAAAACATTGGCTGCTGCGCCACAGCTCCCTCACGAGGCGGGTGCACTGTTGTCTGCAGGGCCCCCCGCATTCATCTACAAGCCGCTACATCACACACAGCAAAACTCACTATACCCAGCCACTGGCAGTCGAGAACACCTACATTACCCTACTTGTTGAACTAAACCTAGGAAGCCAACTGGGCAAGGACGAATTCGTAACAGAAAACGGGCTTCTGACAGCTTCTGCCTTTCCTGTGCGCCTTTCTATGTACATAGTGCTCACCAGGTCCAACAGAAAAGTCCAAAACCCATAACCCCTGCACCCAACCAACCAGTGCCCTCCTTAAGCCCAACCACCCTCACTCCCACCCTGCCCAGATTAGCCCATTGCACAGACAACAAACTGAAAAGCAAAGAGGACTTCTGGCTGGCTCATTACTGATGGTAACCCTGGTAGTACCCTTGTTGCTGCTGCTGCTGCTGCTGCTGTAGCGGTGCCTGTTGCGCGGGTCTATAGGCTTGACCTCCTCCCTGCCCGTACCCTTGCTGCTGCATTGGGTACGTCTGCTGTCCTTGTGGCCCATATCCGCCTCCCCACTGCTGCTGCTGCTGCTGCCCATGTCCGACAATCGCCGCCTGTTGTGGCGCCTGCTGCTGCCATCCCTGCTGCTGCGGTCCGAAACTCTGCGCCACCCCCGCTCCGTACCCCCCCGCCCCCCATTGTCCCTGCTGCCCGTTCGCGTACGCAATTTGCCCCCCCATTGACACTGCATTCGCCGCCGTCATCATCGCCATGTTCGCCGCCGTCTTGTGCACCTTCGACCCCCTGTCACTCCCCCCACTGTTGTCAAGCGAACGCTTTTTCGACGACTCCGCGTTGCCCTTCCTCGTCCCCGGGAAGAACTTCTTGTGCACTGCCTCCGCCTTCCTCACGGCTGCCGAATCCCCGTGCAGATCGACCAACTCCAGAAACTGCAAGGAGATCTCTTCCCGATCACCCACGCTCATCCCAGACCCGTCCGCTCTCGCGCTCGGCGTTATCGCCTGCTCTACCAACGCCTGCACCCGACTCATTCCGCCGTCTTGGAGATGCAATGTCTCGAAGAATATAAACCCTTGCCACAGAGCCTTCGAGAACGGCACTCTCTCCACGGCCTCACGAAACACCTCTCTCGCTTTCTCCGTGTTCCGCGTAACCTGATCTAAGAAGCGCGCGTACTGCATCGTGAGATGGACAAACGTTTTCGGATCGTCCTTGGACTTCTCAGCTTCCAGCGCCGCCTCGAACACCGCCTTCGCCTTGTCCAGGTTTCCCTGACGCCTCTCAAGATTAGCATACTTGAGCACGGCTTCCAAGAGGCCCACGGCGAGTTCCGTGCAGAGGAGCTCATAATGCTTCCTGGCGGCGGCGGTGTTCTCGTGCTTCTCGTAGTACCTCGCCGCATAAAGGTGAACCTCCGGCCGCCGCTTAACGAAGATCGTCGCCGCCCTTACCAGCGCGTCTTCCGCTTGCTCCAGCTGTCCTGCCCCCTCCAGATGATCGACGTATCGGATCCAATACTCTGAATAATTCGCACAGGCGATGAGACACCGCTCGTACAGCTTGGAAACCTTTTTGAGGTTGCCTTCCTTCTCAAGGAAGTCCAAGTACCGATGCCAATTGGCCAGCTGCATCTCGTCAAGGGGCTTAACGTGGAAGTACGGCCGTCGGATTGCAATCTCGTAATCGTGAATCTTCATGTCTTGTTCTTTCGTCACTCGGTACATCTCGTCTCTGCGCGCGAGGTATTTCTCTAGCTTTTCCTGCTCGGACAATACCCGCGGTTTGGACGTACTCTTCTCCTCTGCCGCCTTGCCGCTCGCATCGCCATCAGCCTCACTCCCTCCCGCGGCAACCCCCTCTGCATCCTGCCCGTTACCCGCCATGCTCTCTAACGCCTCGAATTCTGCGATATCCTCCGGTGTCAAGAACTCTGATAATAACCTGCCGCTCTGCATCTGCTTGTGCACATACTGCTTGAAGCTTTGATAGTACCTGTCGATCTGCTGCATCGGAATGAGAAGAATCCGAGTGTAGAGCTGAGCGACGCGCCCCCACTCTTCCTGAGAGTACTCGAACTCCAGGTATTTGTCCCATAACAGGTGGGCTAGGTAATCCGTGCCAACATAATCAAGGCCACGCTCAAACAGCCGCCTGATCTCTCCCATGTCCTCAGATTTCTCTGCAACGAATGTGCAGTAATGCATCCAGATGTCAACACTGTATGTCACCCCCTTGACGGCTCTCTCGTACACTTCAGCAATCTTCTCTTGGTGCCCGTGCCTCCCCTCGTGGTCTGCGTATTTCTTCCAATACCCATAGCAAAGGGGAAATTCGGCAAGAAAGGTGTCGTAAACCCGCCGGATTTTGTCTATCACATCCAGCCTCTCCGCTTCCTGAATGAGCAACGTCCAGGATGTGAAATCGGCGGGATTGGCAGTGACAATGCTCCATAACCTGTCCTCTTCCGTCGGCGTCTGAGGGGCCGCGGGCTGCGCTGCCGCCGCCGCTGCCGCCGCCCCTGCAGCTGCTGTTTCAGCCTTCATCTCGCCGCCCCCATGTCCAACACCCGCGCAGTGGTCCATGGCCGCCATGTCTACGCCGCCCTCCACCACTGCCATCAGGGCGACGACGTTCTCTTCCTCGCCCTGCCCCTATTCCCTCCCGCAATACCTCCCCGCTGCACACGAAAGAATGAGCTGCTTGGAAGGAGGGGAGAAGAAGGGTCCGCAGGTCGCCGAAAGTGGGAAATCAATCAAAGAAAGGTAGAAGACAGCTGTTTTCGACCTAAAGAAGGCCGAGAACTGCGAAGCGGAAAGGGAGAGGAAAGACGAAGTGGAGGCGCCCTACTCCCACGGTATAATCTGGAGGGGGAGGAGGAGATTTCCACGAACTCCTTTACCCGTACAAAGTAGGCGAGAGAGAGCTTGACAAGCGGGCGGCGTCGAGTGCTGTCCACGCGTCAGACGATAAAGATGGAGGGAAGAAGTCGAGCTTAGGAGAGCGGGAACGAAAACCGGTAGGCAAAATCGAAATTGGCGGCAGCGACCACTACTACCGGTAGGGCGATTGGCTGAAGACGGAGTTGACATAACGTCCCGCCATCGGTGGCGCTTGTGGGAGAAAATGCAAGTTTTGCCGTTGTACTACCAACAACGAGAACGGGTACGGAGGATGCCCTAGCGCTAGTAGCACCACTTGGGCGAGCAGCCGCCGAGGTCGCTCCTTCCCTTGTCCGCGCGCTTCTCCTGCAGCTGAAACCCTGCGGGCAATCCTCTCTCTGAATGTGTTGCAATTGCAATCACAGGAGGCCGTGGCTGCCGAATCCACCCGCGCCGGTACCGAACGCGCAGCGGCTGACCCTTCGTCACCCTAACGGGAAGAGGCAGGCGCACGGGCCCAAGACGTGTGCTTGCCGCCACGGAAAGGTGGAAGACCTTTGCCGTTTTGCTGGCGTGGATCCTTCCTCAGTGCCTTTCGTCTTAGGGAAAAACACCTTGGGGCCCCTCTTCGTCGCCGCGAAATGACATGACTTGCATTTACGTACGCAGACAGATTGAGCCCCTGAAAAGATCGGCTAACCTGGGGGCCCTCGGAATGTAGCCCGGAATGGCCCACACTTTTTCTTTTTTGACGGAGATCTATGGGGGGAGAGGGAAGGAGAGCAATAGGTGGGGAGGGCAGAAAGTTGATTTTGACTAGCAACTGTCCACCTAAAGAGAGCGAGACAAAGCACCCACCTAAAAAGAGAGAGCACACCAATTTGCAGCATTTGCCATATAGCAGCAGAGTGTTGTTTGCACCCAAGGCTCATTTTTTCCTTGTTCAGACGGCGGCAATATACGGGTTGTGGGTTTCAAAGCGGTTGTGGAAAACTGGGACCCGTTAACTATTAGTTTTGAAAGGTTGTTGTTCTTCGAACCGCCTGTACTTTATGACCGGTGTCGGTGCGAATACCCTTATAAGGGTATCCACCTTGGTTTTTGCAAGTGACAGAAAATAAGTTTGGACTTGAAAACTGAAGGCACCACGCGAGTTGCAACTGTATTTTCCGTTACGCTGATTGAATGTGAGACTAGAAGTAGAGTGTGTGTGGGCGCGCAGTTTTAAAGATGGATGTGATCTTTCTTCTTTGATACTGATTGTAAAGTCGGTATGGTTGTTGGCTAATATTTCTTTTTTATTAAACCATCAGTACCTCCTAAAAGTGCTCCACGTTGTCGACACGAATACCCTTACAAGGGTATCCGCCCTGTTTTTTGCAAGTGACAGAAAAATAAGTTTGGTTTAAAGTTTGAATATACCGCGCGAGTTGTGGCTATGTACGTAATTTACGTTAATTGGATGGCTGACTAGTTTAAAGAGTGTGTGGACGTGCAGATTTGAGGCGCGCGTGATCTTTTTATTTGTTGATGATTGAAGAGCCAACATGATCGCTGACCTAATTTTTATTTCTTATTAAACTAGGTTTTAGAAGATTATGCCTTTGGATTGGTGTGCTTGCTTGAGACTTGTGCGTATGTGCGGAAAACAGCATCGACAACAACGTGATTTTGAAACATTTTGATAGATCTGCGAGTTGCACAGTATCCGTTTTATTTAGGTGTTCGTCAACACTAGACTCAGCCTTAGGCCTAGCACTATTGGTTACAGTGTCGAACTTTCATCAAAGAGATTCAGGGATCAACATCGAGCGGCGAAGACACGGGGATATCAAAATAGCGAGAAGGGACTGAGGGGTTGAGGGCCCGGTGGGGCTATCCCCCTTGGTTTTGCCGTCGACGGCGTTAGGACGGTGCTAACATTTTCTTGTTTGCCATATTCTGACAATTAAAAATTTATAACTATTTTATTATTTATCGTCGTTATTTTTTTTATGCTTCGGCATCCTTGACTTGGACGCAATTTTGGATTTAGAGGCCGTCTCGACGGCCGAGGACCTTGAGCGAGCGCCTCCTTTTAGCGGACCCGTTCGGATTCCAGCGTGTGGGGGTGTTGACAAAATATTTTTATCCTATTCATTTTGAAACAAGGACCGAGAAGTTCAACATGCATGCTAGTTGGTGGGTGATTAAGCCTACAACGTGGAAAAAACCCGGCTGGTACGGACCCTATGCGGGCGTACCACCCACCAGCCGCGAGTTGGTGTGAGGGGTTTTGAGTGTGAGTTTCCCGCTGAGGCACGAAAGATGGTTGATCGTGCACGCGCTCAATAGAGTGAATAGCCGCATGGCAGGGCTCCCCGCAATATATTAGTCGTTGCCGATAGTCTGCTATGAAGAGTCAGGTGTAGGTGTGTCAGTCGAGAACTCGGGAGAAAGGAACTCTGGTCAACTAGAGCGAACGACGGAAAAGCTGACGGAAGTCGCAGCCACGTCGATATGTCATACTGATATATCGGTCATCTGTCGGGCTGGCACATAGGGGCGGAGGGCTGCTGCACCGAAGTAGCTAAGTCCTTTGAAATCTTCTTAGGGTAGTCGGGTGACTGAGCAGCGTTGAGAGACGGTTATGGGAACTGCAGATGCTGGGTCGTTTGCGCTAGTATCGAGCGAGTGCAGCGAGTGACGGATGCTAAGGCAGTGAGCTGAGGCAACAGAGTGACAGACGCCAAGGAAGTGAAGTGAGGCAGTAAAGAAGGTGGATGGATCTTGACAGGAAAGTGCGCCAGATACATGTGAGGTAAAGAAGAGCGCAGCGCGGAAGGAAGGCGAGCTATGGCAGACGTAACTAGAAGTTAGTGGAGCTAGAAGGTGCGAATAAGCCTGGGGAACCAGGAAGTTAGAAAGTGACGAAGGATGAGTAGGGTGAACCTGAGCGTTGTCGGAGCAAACACCCTTACAAGGATATTTGCTCATGATTTTGCATTCGATGCAGTATCGACCCCGGTTTCCGTGCAGGAGACTGTTTGGAGTAAAAAGTGAGAATTTTTGGCATGGCGCTGTGAAGCAAACTTCTCGACCATCGAGGCCAGCGGTACTAGGCGGCCATGCGTAGTGATACGACTTGTACGGCAAACAGTAAGGGTTAGTAGAGATTAAAAACCTTCGGCCGCAAGGGTCGGAAGGATAAACAAAAGCAAGAGAAGTTGCGCGAAAAGCGACGACAACGTACTAAATTGGAAAGAAGTTTCTGGTTAGAATAACAGGATGGGATGGTCGACAAGAATCGATGGGCGTCAAATACGGCGGGGTACGGAAAAATGACAATGCACTCCGCCATAAACTCGGAAGTAAACCAGAAAAATAATATACACCACGGTCATACGGCCAGGGTAGCCAAGGAAAACATATTGTCTGGCATACCAGGCAGTGACAAACGATACTGGCCCAGACTGACCATAGAAGGCAGACTGTGAGCCTGTTACACAAGTAAAGTCAAACCTGTACTCTACTTATGGCTAAATCGCTCTTGTTCTAACCAAACTAGGAGCTAGCCCAGTAGGTAAAGGTGTGAATCGATACGCTGGGGATGCAGGAATCGAGTTCATCATGTCCTCTAGGCGATCTCTTTTTATTGAGAATCAAGGTAGGATTTGTGTTTTTTAACCCTGCTTCCGATCGAGCGGGACTTGAACTCGTGACCTGTGGATTATGACTTGAGGTAATTAGGGAAAAATTTAGGCTCCTTCCCGTAGCAAGAGCCCAACAATTGAACAAACGGGACTCGAAAACATTAGGACAGTTAGATTTCCAAGTTTATTTTATTTTATTTTGATTTATCCTCCTTAGATTTCGCGAGTTTCTTTTGTAACTACCACCCTTAATGATCCCGATATGATGCGAAAGATTCATTGAAGAGGGGTGGGGGGGGAAAGCGCCATTGACAACCACCATACCCTACGACAACGCCTAGAGTGAGGGACACCAATTCCAACAATCTGAACACAAGCAAAATGAAATTAATCTTTCACTATAACATGGGAAGATACATCAGCAAGCATGATAACAAATTGAACTAAAGCATGATAACAAATTGAACTAACTTCTCTCGGGAATGAGAAACAAACATGAACGAATAAAACAAATAAATAAAGTACAATAAAAATTTTTGAACTTTCTACACGCAGGTAACCGTGGTACATAGGCGGCTAATAGGATCGAGTTCATCAACCATGATGTGGAACGAAACAATCAACTGATAAGATATAATCCAAAAGCTTTATTATTACTATTATTGTTATTTATTTACTTTTATTATTTTTAAATTCGATAAAATATGGAGAATGAATCTGCGCTAATATAAGGTGCAAATTCTCCTAACGGTGGGAGTAGATTTTGCGAGATCATATCCCAACCCATTCCAAGTCCGGATACAGATGTTTAACCCAGCAGGATCACGGTCCACGATCGATTCGTTTTATGAGCACTAAAAGGAGGTACTAGTATGTGAATCTCATGAATCTGTCCGGTTTTAGGGGATTGATTCTTTCAACAAAGGCAAGTAAGCAGGGTACGGTCGAGTGAAGTAAGAACGTGCTTTAGTTCGTGAGGAAGGGAGCGAGAAAGGGGCAATCGCAAAGCTTAAGCCGGTAAAAGACAAGAAGGAGAAAATAAGCACCCGAGTGGGAGCAAACGAACGAAATAGCCGACAAACGGACACACTAGTAAGTGAGTGGGCTAGCGGAGGATATGCGAATAGGAGTAAATGCGGGCGGGTGAAGGTTACACGTGGTCTTGAATAATGAGGGTGAAGGTCGTATCATAGTCGCCATTGTGGGATACTCGCATTTCGATCGCCACTGTTGTCGGGGCGCGATCTTAAGGAGAGAGGTATACAGGGGGTTGAGAAGGGGGAAGAAGGAGAGGAAGAATAAAGAGGAGAGGAAGGAAGCAAGTCAAGAAACACGAGTCAGGGGGAAGAAGAGGGGGGCAAAAGTAGGCAGGGTGTCGTAAGGGAAGGAGACACGTAGCAAGGAAAGAAAGAAAACTTACTCGGTTGGGATATGTTTGCGGCCGCCGAGAGTCTGCGGTTAACGTTTTCTAAATTAAACATCCTCAAATCCGAAATACTGTTAACTATAGATTAGTTTCCTTTACTTCATCTTATTATCTTATTTTTTTCTAATAGAAGTAGACAACGAAGGGGAGGTCGAAAGAGAAAGGGATGTTTCATCGGTAGGAAAAGCAATGAACCGGCCAGCAGGTAAGTCTCCAACCACTCAACTTACTTCATCATACTACCATCGATAAGGTGAGCCAAATCGAGTGAATCTACCGCTGAAATATGAGAATGTACACTATTACACTTGTATGTGTGTGTGTGTGTGTGTGTGGGAGGGTATGTCGATCTCGCGGCTGGCCTTACACTACTTCCATCGATAGGATG